AAATCCTCAATTGACAAATTACCTAGATCACATTGACTTGTGAGCATGTCTAATGGGGTACTGTCTCAATTTTTAACTGATATAGGAGGCTCCAGCTAACTGTGGGTGGGACCATTCCTAAGAAGAAGGTCTTAGTCTGTATAAAAAGGCCAACTAAGCATGTACCCGTGAGGAAGCCAGCAGGCACTGTCTCTCCACAGTTTCTGCTTCAAGTCTTTGCTTGAGTTCCTGCCCTGACTTCCCTCAGTGACGGATTGTAATTTGTCAGAGGAAATAAACTCTTTCTTCCTCTAGTCTGTAGTTGCTTTTGGTCAGAGTATTTTGTCACAGAAATAGGAAGGAAACTAGGGCATATTTATCTGGATATTGTTTCAATATAAGTGGGCAATGAGTAAATAATTTGAATATGCATATATAACACCCAAAAGTGTTATTTATGTAGCTTGATCTAAAATTGGAAACCCAAAATTTATATAGTACAGAATTTAAGTGCAGTCTTAGGTACTCAGGTGGCTGCCGCAGGAAGGTCTCTTAAGCTTGGCAAATCAAGACCAGCACAGGCTACATAGCAAAATCTCATCTACCTCAAGGGTAAAGAGGTGGCACAAGGAGAGAGGAGAGGACAGGAGGGAGCTGAGAGAAGGGGAAGAGTGGAGATACTGGTTGCTTTTATGTCTCTACATAAAAGCTCTACATTGATTATATCTTAAGTTTAACAATTACTGATATATATCAACTAGCAAATTGGCTTAATTAATACAGATATTTGAATTGTTATACCTGGCGATCCCACTAAATTTGAATATGCTGATAACATAATTTTGAGAAGGCCATCAAATACAAAGAATGGACATGGTTTACTTTGAAGCCTTGACTAATTTCTCCATAGTCAGGGTACTAATTGCTATATGTTTCATGCAGAGCACATAGACTCTGGTAATAATATAATCACTTTCAAATTGTTTTAATACAAATATTGTCAAAGCATATAATATTCTCAAAAGAAAATATTATAAATCCCATTGGTTTGTACAATATATATATATATACACTAATAAATTTTAATATAAAACTAGGCTTAATGAAATGGGGCTCCAATAACACCTCTGTTTAGAGAGTTGTGTGATCTAATGTAAGTTAAATCAGTACCTTCAGGGATGAAAACATGTATATATGTGTAAATACATTATTCTTCTTATCCACTTACAGCTCAATTTTTTTTGCTTTTTCTTAAATTTGGGAGAAATAAAGAATCTCTTCCGACAGTACTTCAGCCTTCGTGGTGTGGTTCCATCTGCTGAGGCCTATGCATCCAATACCTAACAGTACTAAAATTACGGTTTTCAATGAAGCAACAGCTGCTAAGTGTTTTTGCTCATCTGCCAGAACGTGGATTTCAGCTCCTATTTCAACAGCCCCCTAGTGCAGCCTCCTTCCCACTCAAAAGGGATGTCTAGGCTGCTTATGGGGTCATCACAGTCTTTGTAGACAAGATCCTGATGGCATCTACTTCTCCAGAAACACAGGTACCTTGATAGCATCCTCCTCCAAGGAGACCAATCTGACATATGATGAAGGACACATGAGTCCAATAGTTTTAGTACTTCTGGTTTCTCAGGGCAACCAGGGCCTTGTTCACAAATTTTATATACAGATTAAAATCAACAGGCTCTCAGGTGATTGCCCTCAGAAAATCCTCACTGCAGAGGTCTTGGCAGCCCTTCTCATGCCTCCAGGGTCTCTGAGCCATTCTGTGCTGCTGTTTGGTTGCCCCAGAACTTCGGATGCAAGAAGCTGCTCCTCTCAGCCCCTTACCATCCACCACTAAGCATCCAGCTGCCTGCTGGCTGGCTCAGATCCCGAGCCTGTGACCTCCGCATCCAGTTGATCAGGTAATGGCAATAGCATGTTACAACCTCAACAGAGTGCTGCAGGCTCTGTAAGACAGGATGGACAGAAACTCAAGATATCTCATATTATGGGGGTGCCTATTGGATAAGAAACTGCCTGACCAGAGACTGCCTGACCCAACTTCTTCACCTGGGCCCAGTCTTCATGTGCAAGGATCAAGGCCACATATTAGCTTTAAAAATTGACAAAAAAGCTACGGAGAAACCCTGTCTTGAAAAATCCAAAAAAAAAAAAAATTGACAAAAAAACAAAAAAAAGCTGGAGTGATGGCTCGGCAGTTAAAAGCACTGGCAGCTTTTCCATAGGACCTGGGTTCAATTCCCAGCATTTATATGATGGTTCACAACTGTCTGGAACTTCAGTGCTAGGGAATCCAACGCCCTCTTCTGGCCTCTGTAAGCACCGTATACAAGCGATATGTATACATACATGCAGGCAAAACACCCAGACACAGAAAGAAAAAAAAAGAGAGGGGGGAAGGAAGGAGGGAGGAAGGGAGAGGGAGGAAGGAATGAAGGGAGGGAGGGGAGAGAAAAAGAGAGGAAGGAAGGAAGGAAGGAAGGAAAGAAGGAAGGAAGGAAGGAAGGAAGGAAGGAAGGAAGGAAGGAAGGCTGATTATGGCCTGGAGGAAGAGAACTTTGCAGTTTATGACTAGATGCCCAGTAGTCAGACATTTGCCAGATGTGCTGGACATCATTCCACTCTCAAACCCCTGGACTACCTGAAAGCTGGTTGGGATTGACTGAAGAGCAACAGGGGTTCATAGACTGCGTGGCTAACCATCACATGGGATGAGGCTTAGGAGAGTGCTGCCCTTTTCATTTCCTTAGCCAGTACATTCCTTAAAAAGGACAGGGTCCTGTCAGGAGGTGGTGGTGCACGCCTTTAATCCCAGCACTCTCACTTTAATCCCAGGAGGCAGAGGCAGGTGGATCTCTGTGAGTTCAAGGCCAGCTTTGTCTACAAGAGCTAGTTCCAGGACAGCCAGGGCTGGTACACAGAGAAACCCTGTCACGAAAAACCAAGAAAATAGATAGAGTCCAATGAAAAGCACTTTAGTCAACCTTTGGGCATTCATATTAACATTCGTAATATTCATATTAATATCTGTAAATTGGCAACCACTTACCAACAAGTGGTCTCATCTCACATTTGTTATAAACTATTACCTAAAACTTGTCTTCTTTGAGTTAAAAAAAAAAAAGAAAACAAAAGATGAAACAAACAACATCCAACATTTTATGTAAAGCTCTTGCTTGGTTCCCGGGCACTCAAAGCAAAACCACTTACCTCTAGAGCATGAATACTCACCAAATGCTTCTTCCCCAAAGTGCTGGGGGTCAAGCCTAGGGCGTCATGTATGCGGGGGATGTACTCCATCACTGAGTTACACCTTAGTTATCTCCTTTATAGTCACAGGTATCTGGTAGTAACCCATATACACACTTCACTTTTGAAAATCTACATTGTATGTGTGGTGGGGGCGGTCTTGAAAGAAACACTCAGTAACTGCTGCAACACAGAAACACAGTCCTATCCTCGAGCAACTCATTTTGAAACCCCCATCTAAGTCATAAACTCCCAAGGTTTTCTTCCTCCAGGCCATAACCAGCTTGCCTTCCTTCTTTCCTCCCTTCTTTCTTCCCTCCCTCCCTCCCTCCCTTCCTTCCTCTCTCTCTCTCTCCCCTCCATTCATCCATTCCTTCCTCTCCCTTCCTCCCTTCCTCCTTCACTTTCTCTCTGTTTCTTTCTTTCTGTATCTGGTTGTTTGGCCTGCATGTATGCATACGTATCACATGTATACAGTGCTTACAGAGGCCAGAAGAGGGCGTTGGATTCCCTAGAACTGAAGATCCAGACAGTTGGGAAACACCATATGTATACTGGGAATTGAACCCAGGTCCTCTGGAAGAGCTGCCAGTGCTTTTAACTGCCGAGCCATCACTATTGCTCTAGCTTGTGTGTGTGTGTGTGTGTGTGTGTGTGTGTGTGTGTCAGTTTTTAGAGCTAATATGTGACCTTGATCCTCGCACATGAAGGCTGTGCTCTTGGGTCAGGAAGTTTCTTATCCAATAGGTACCCCATTTGAACCTACACTTTCCCTAGCTTTTCCAGGCACTACTGCACACCATTATGTTGCCTATTGGTCATCTTACTCTGGCTGCCCACTTGGAATATCTTCTAGTCTCACATCTCAGAGAGCACCTGCCTTGGGTACCCCTGGGCAAAAAGTTAGATATTATTACCATGGTCACCAAGTCTCCTAAGAATCAAATGCCCTTTTGTGATTAAACATCGTTGAAACTACAGTTAGGTTGCCCATGGTGTATTGGAAGCTAATATTCCAGGTACTTCCCCAATTGCTCTGAATATTTATACATATACAAAGAGTCTGCATCTTCACAGAACCCTGGCTTCATTATAATGTTTATGTTATGGCTTTTTAATCTCCCTTCTGTGGCCTTTCTAGAGGATCATGGGAAGAAGTACCCTAAAACGACATCTAGTCCATCAAGCTTTGGTTGCAGGGAGGGCCACTTTCCCCCATGATTATGCTAAGTACTTCATAAGTAATTGCAAAAAATTATTTAAAATCTACAATGCAGAAGCTACTGGGCTTCTCTTTCTGGACCAACTCCAGTCTCTATGCTTTGCCTTGTTAAATAAATACTTGGTTACATGTTCTCTCAACTGGCTTATTTCCTTTGAAAAGACAAGAACGGGGAGGTCCTGGTAAAACCAGCCTTCATGTCTCTGTCCTCCTAGACATGGCTGTAGGCCTCCACCCAATAGGAATAACTTCTCCTATTATGCAAAATGAACAGGTTACACATTTGCTTTTCTTCTTGAACTCACTCTTTGCTTGGCCTGTGATCCTGATCTAGCCTTTGCTCTGCATTCAAATGTACAACCTTGCATTTTTATACTAAACGATAGTGGTTAAAATTACTCAAATCAAAGGAGATTGCTTCTTTCAGGTAGGTAGCTGTCCCATATCAGTTAAGCCCTTGACTTCCTGAGAATGTTTCTGAACTTGAATTTGGAAACTTGCTACACAGACTAAGCAACACCCAAGAGGTGAGTTTGAGGGAGAAAGAAAGCTGGTTTTATTGAAGATGCTAGAAATCCATAAGGAGGTAGACATTTTACCCAAGCTCTCCTCTCTTTCATCTTTGAGGAAGCATTGGATATTTGTGTTAGGACCAGATTAGATGGTCCACATGGAATTCAGTCTGGCACTGACTGCCATTGGCCAACTTCTTGTGGTGGCATTCTCTTATCTTGAGAGTAAGAGGTCCTCTTTCAGCATCACTTCTTGTGGCCAGAAGCTGTTATCTGAGGCATCTCCGAAGCAGCACAGGAGGTCAGAAGAATGGGAGAGGGAAGCGTCTGTGAATAAGGAAGGGAATAGAAATAGGTCAAGAACTTTTTTGCTGGAGAGCAGATTTAACCTGTGTGGTGGCTTGAATCGGAGGTGCCATCTATGGCAAAGCTAGTGAGAGACAATATTGAATTATTCAGCTTCTTGATCTCCTACATCAGTAACTTTTAGAGTCATCTAAAGGCAAGTGATACTACAGGGTTTCCCCGGGGTAAACCCAGGGATTTATGCATGTGAGGTCAACTTCCAGCTGAGCTGAATCCCCAGCCTTAATATTCTTATAACCCAAAGTTAAACAATCAGAATTGATGTTACAAAAATGGAGCCTCTACTTGCTTCAGCAATACAGAAGAAAGTGTGAAATGTTAATGGAATTAATCTTATCAATTAAAACCAGGACTCAGAATTCAGGGTAAAAACCTGGAAGATGAGAGGAGTAACCACAGTCCCTTCCTACCTCTTGCGTTCCTTCAGTTCCAAAAGGGCTGAGATCCTGTGTCAGCCCTGCCTTACCACTTCCTTCCCTCTCTCTACAGCCCTCCAAACCTCTACGGTCAGTTAGGGATGGGCTCTACCCTCTGACTCCAAACAAACTTTATTTGTCAGAACACAGTGAAAATACCACACAACAGAAATGGCCCTGCATTGATCCCCTAGCCCCAACTCAGCAAAAATACCAGGCCCTGGGCGTCTTGAAGCATCAGCAATCCATTCTCTCCTGCCTTTGGGGGCTTTGCTTCCTGTGGAGCTATAGAGAGAGAGATCCACGTTGCTTTTCCAGCTTCTGCAGGCTGTTGACATTCCAGGAGAGGATTCTCTGCCTCCATCCTTGCATTGGCTTTCAGTTCTGAGTCAGTGTCTTTCCCCTAGGAATACTTGAAATTGGATTCAGGGCCCATCTGGATGGTATAAGATGATTATCTTGGTTTGAGATACTAAATGTAATTGCATCTGCTAACACATATCCCCCTCCCACCAAAATAATGCAACATTTACAGGTTCTAGGAACTAAAGCATAAACACTGCTTTTTGGGGGCCCGCGACAGCTTTCTGTAGCCCGCTGCAGACAATAAAGCTAAAATTCGAGTTTGCTGTCTGATTTACAGTTAACTTTCTGAAGGCTGTGATGTTCACTTATCTATAAAAAACACTTCCTAACTCGCATTTGGAAGGAAATGTGAAGTGGCTTTATTTAAAGCACATGCCATAAATATAATTTGACATTTGTCCAGTTGAGGATGAATTTAAACTGACTTTTTCACTACATGTAGTAAAAACCATCCCAACCTTTCCAGGAATAGAGACGAAGCAAACAAGCAAGCAAACACGTGCCTTTGCCCCACCCTGCATGGTCTCTAATTAGCCTCTTTCTCTTTTAGAAACACCACCTCCTCTAGTCTACACGAGTCTATCTGCCTCGGTCTGGCCATGGCCTTACTTAAGGGACAGCCAAGCCATGCTTGGTTGAGATCATGACCTGGTAACCAGGGCTGCAAACTCCAACCAAAGAGTTGTTTGCCACAGCCTTGTTCACATTAGAAACAATAAAAATGAACCCCAACAAGCTCTTTCTCCTCACAGACTGGCATTTATGACAAAGAGGGAAAAATCCTAAGCTGTTCCTTCTCTAATGGCCAGTGACGTAAGTTTCTTATACATATACAAAATTTGATTTAATTAAATATTGAAAAACTCGTCTTAATATTATTCTCCATAATTTACTTAGTTTCAAGTCATTGAATTGCTTTCAGAACTGGACCTTAGATCTTCAGTCTCAGTAACAAAGCAGTACACACACATACATGTGCACATATGGAAATATTTTCTTTGGCGAATAAGAATGAAAACTGTATCTGTCCCATGTCTGACCCACCTTACTGGGTCGGAATCAGGATAGATAGTCTCCTTCATTATCTCCACTTGCCTCCAGCTCACTGTGGCTGTCCATATATACCAGGAGTCTTATATAAAAGGTCCTGAGCATTAGGTCATTGTGGTTATTGTCAACTCTAGTGGCTGCACAGGGGAGGCAGGTGTTTCTAGCTGGTCTTATCAACAAGGGGTGTGGAGGACTTGCCATCTCAATGTATCCTTCCTAGTGTTCAGCCTAGACAGGTGCAGTATACAGAAATTGCTTTCTGGGGATCCTGCCATCCCCTCACAACATCGAGGCAAGCATGTGCCCTTCAACCTCTCCTGCTTAAATCCATCTTCCAGTCAGGACGGCCACTGGGCCACTGTTCTGCCTTCAGGTCACCTTCCGACTCCCTGGTCAGACCCCTCTCTCTCAGATTAGGTGACTCTGACATTTCTCTTATTCCCACAGAGCACAATTTCTCAGCCCTCACCCCAAATAAGACAGATGTTTTCAAAAAGTCTTTTCTCTCTGCTCTGGGAAGATTTAAAGCTGTCTCGGGACTGAACCTATTACCTTTCTTCCTTCAAGGAAAATTATTTCAGAAAAGGAATATATGAAAATTAGAAAGTATATGTAAGAATTTAATGGGATTTTTGAGTTTCCTTTCCCTTTTAAAACCAGCCTCAGTTTTCTCAGAAAAATGTAGACTCCCTATAGAGCTGGTGATAAAAATCAGCCAATAGCCACATTTGCCTGTGTTGGGCTTGGCAATGCGGTTTCCTCTTTTTGAGTTATTTTAGGGAACTGAGGATCTAGGAGTGGGTTTGCGAGCTCACTTCAATCTCACGCTTTACAAAGATCCACCCCCAAATAGTGCTGCTTCGTACTGGTGGAATAATTCACAAACGGACAGATGGAGGCACGCTCAGAGAAACTGAAATCGGCTACCCTTTTGTTGAGCATTCCTAATTCATTCCCATTGTGGCTAAAGCAGTACAGGCGAAGATTTAACAAAGCAGCTCACCAATGGACCTCTTTTTTTTCATACGGATTTATTAAAAACTCTTTTCAGTGAAATGTTAAGACTTTAGAACTGTATAAAACGAACAAAGAGTAAATCAGAACCCAGGCGTCCTGTTACAAAATAAGCATCCTGTCAAAGATTTATGGTCCTCACTCTCTTTCTTCCTTCCTTTTTAAAAATTATAAAAATGCAGTGATTGTTTTGCTCATTCAAAATCACAAGCCAGAGAGTAGAATAACTAAAGCCAGCAGCACACATGGTTCCTGAGCCTGACAGCCAATCCTCCTGAGGAGCAGCGGGAGCCGTGTGACTCAGGAAATTAAACATCACGTTCGCTCCCTGGGTCTCCATCTAATTTTCAGTGACCTTGTGGAAATTTCTTCAAGTGTTTGAGGTTGTGCTTGATTTTAAGGTGTGGAAAATAATATCAGCCTCCTACCAAGAAGGGATGGGGGTGAATGGCAAATGAGCGCAATTGAAAATGCATTGCTCACAGCGTGTGAAGGGCTGACTCAGTGCAGGGTGCTGGGAAGGTGAGACATAAAACACGTGCGTGTGAGCACACACACACACACACACACACACACACGGGTGGGGGTGGGGAGGGCTGCTTTATTATCAGACTTATCAGATCTGCGGTACACACTGGCTGCAGTCTGAGAGGCGCTGTCAGCTCTGCTGTGGCCTAAGAGCATAAGTAGCTCACCTTAGCCTACATTGGCACCACCAGACACCTTATCAAGAATCTGGAAGGAATATAGCAACATTTGGCTTTGCTTAAGCCCCTCAGGGCCTCTGAAATCATTCCTTCCACCCCCTTCTCCACCTTCAGCTGCCTTAATGGTGTTGGAACCACATCCCTGAACTGGGCCATTTCACCTCCAGGTGAGCATGTTGGGCGGTCCTTCCTGGTTGAGATGGAGTCTCATTCCTTTTCCAGTCCACACATGGCTTGTCTTTCCCTCTACTTCTGCAGAACCAGTCTGTTCACTTTCCTGTGAGCCAGACTTTTCAGAATTTGAAGCCAGAACTCCCATTTTGCTAGACGACAATCTTCAGGTGACATTTTCATTTTCATTCATTATAAAGCTTGGTACGGGCTTATGGTGTCTCACTACGAAGGTCATCTTCTTGTAATTCAATCTTTCTCGTTATTGTTTCCCTTAAAATGCCACTTTTAAAGTGAGTCATGACCCAGAGAGGTGGATCTAATAACTCAAAGTACAATGGATTCTCTTTTATTTAAGTTTTGATAAAGCAAAAATTTTGAGTATCTTCTAGTCACTTACACTATGGATATAAGGATGAATAAAATAGATATAATTGTTAGTCTTAAGAAGCAAGTCTTAAGAAGCAAGAGAAACTGTAGTGGGATAAAATGCTCCCAACAAAACCATTCAAGTAATTTCAGGTATAGAGATGTTTTGTGGTGAGTTTGGCTAAGCTACACTCTCTGTTTATTTCTATCTTTATATTGGTCTTCTTTTTCTTTCTCTCTCTCTAAATGGCTCCAAGAGCTAAAACTATATTTCCTAGACTGCTTTGCTGCGGATAAGATTCTGGGTAGGAATTACATTCTGCCACATAAATATAACTCAGATAAGCTATAGCTATGGATTTTTTATCTGAATGCAAAAAAAAGCCTTTGGAGGATTTTCAGCAGTATTGCAGCTTTATAGCATGGGGGTCACAGGAGAGGGCAGAAAGGAAGTGGAGAGGAAGGAAGGGGAGTAAAGAAAAAAGTGTAGCACAGTAAAAAAAACAATAAAAATAATCCTTTATATTCAAGACATGCAATGTAGTATTTAGGTGTGTGTGCGTGTGTATGTGTGTGTGTGATATCATAACCAGTTTAACTAACACAAATCTATCACTCTCTATAGTTACTTTTGGTGTGTATATGAGTTAAATCAGACAACCTCTATTCTTTATGAAAATTTCAAGTACACAGATACATTATTTTCACCGCAGTCCACATCAGTTTTTCAGACCTTATTTTTTAATGGAAAGTCCTCTTTGACCCACAGCTGCCATCTCCGAAGAGAGGAGACAGAAAGTCAACTTGCAATGTGCAAAGAGGCTGACTCCACTGATGAAAACCCTGATGGGGTCAACAAAGCACAAAT